AAATATGAGGAACAATTTAATGGGTGCAATGGTTGCATTTGTTACAGCCAAATTGGATATTCAGTTTCACACATGATACATAACTCATCAATTTAGGACAAAATACGTTGATTGAAGACAGTGATGACAGATTGTCTAGGTGAAAGGAGTATAAAACTTGGACAAGCTTAATGGTTGGCAACGCCACCAGACTGGGCCATTTGTGGTGCATTTTGGGTGGATTCAAGTCTCAATATCAAATCTTGGGCCATCAATGATATCTAGGCTGAGAAAGTGTCCCACAGGCCATAAGCCAGACAGTCACTGCCAGGTACCACAGATTGTTGCCACAGAAAATAGTCTTTCGAACATAAGAAATAGATTTACTAAAAAGAAAAAAGGCACGAAAAAAGGCTCTTTCATAGAATCAATCCTATTTTCCTGCGTTGTAACAAGGATACATGTATCAAACCTATTTATATTCATCCTACAGAAGTAAACATAGCAGAGCATGTATTCTATTAATATCAGATGCAAAACACCAAAAACATAGGTGGTATCAAGTGGCCCCAATATTAAGCTAATTTCGTGCTTTCTTATAATGGTAATAACCGACCACCTAACCAATCGTGACCTTTCTAAAAGTGATAAATTGAACGAAAAGTACGATCTAACTGAAAATGCAAACGGTAATTATCCCTCAGCTCTACATGTAAACAATCTAAAATTGAAACCATTAAGCAACATTCTAGCAGTAAGGTTTCACATTTAAAACGTACCTAGTTTATAGCAAAAGCAAATGGCAAAACCTGATTAACTTTTGTTTAGCGTGAACCCTCATAACAGCATAGAACCACCAGACAATCTTTTAATGGCGCATTAGTTCCATAATATCACAAATCAGTGAGATAACAACTAGTTTCTACCTCCAGATCTAGGTGGAAAAAGTATCTTATTCCCTTATATATAACAACTATTTCTTTGCTGTAACTTACATCCTATAAGAGCAATGTTCGTGGAACAAAGTACACTCTGAATGCATCCACATACCATGTGACAAGTTTTTCACTTAATACTACCAAAAGGACAACAAAATCTTCAATGATGGCTTTACTATTACAGAACTAACGCAATTTAAATGCGTTACAAGAAAATGGGATATAGTAATTCTCTGTGAATCCCAGTTTCCGAACCTAACAACATCATCATGCACACTAGACTGGACTTTGGTGATTCTGTGGAGATATTATGCTTACATTTCAAGCAAGTTGGAGCTCAATAAATTCAAGCAGAATTCGAGTGATGGAGCTAGATAAAGTGTATTGCTTTTATTGGAAATGTAGTTGATCATCTACACCCAGATGCCACCTGGCAACCATCACCTAGTCCAGACCTCCAACATCACCAAAGACGAAACGACAAAAATTTAAAAGGCAAGCAAAAAAAAAAAAATCCTTTCCTTGTATACCAACCAAGTATTTCCATCACTGATGAAATCTAAGATCAAGACGGTAATCTTAATTTACTCGAACATGAGTTTTCTCCATTCAAACTAGTAGGAAAAAGCTACCTATCTCCAGCATTCTCCGATTACACATGGAACACACGCTGAAAATTTTGGACAAAGCAATCATTCCTCCAGTGCTCAACAGTAAGATTTCTTACAAAAACAAAGTAATACTAAATCCCCACCTCAAGGCATGGCTCTCCTCTCTCAAAATCTTCCCCCTGAAACACTAATACAAAGTAACATTTAGCGAGAAACAAAAATGAAAAGGAACTTTCTAAATAAACCTAAACCCCATTTCCTTCCATTGAAGAAACTCGATTCTTTAAGGGTTTTCATCGCCTTTTTCTCTCTCTATGTTTCTCTCTCTGACACACACGGACGATCATATGCCAGAAGCTAACAGAGCCCAGATCATAGAAACAAAACTAAACAAATACACGAAGAACCCATGTAAAAAAAAATTGAAAAAACCATAAAATCTGAAAAGCAAAAACACAAAGAAGATAAAAAAAAACCAAAAATGCCAAGTTTATGGCATTTCTGAGCACACATATATCCACATATGAGAAACCCCAAAATTGAATCTTTTCCATTGCGATTTCTTCAATTTTTTTTTTAAAGAAGGGAACATTCTCTACCTGGGTTTGCTTGTTGAGAGTTTCTTCGGCAGCAGAAGAGGAAGAAGAAGGGGAAGAGTGAAGCTGTTGCTGCTGCTGATGCTGCTCTTCTTCAGCCATGGGAGCCAGCTCTCTCTCTCTCTCTCTCTCAACTCTTCTTCCTCTTTGGGTTTTTTATTATTATAACAATTCGATTTCTGCTTTTTATTTTTACGACTTTTTTTCCCTTTTTTCTTCTATTTTTCTTCCTTTCAATCGAATGTCGGGCTACGTGGTACTTTGTAACGTTGACCAATGGCGCATTGCCACGTCATTGCATGAATTCTTACATTTGTTGGGTTTTTTAACTTAAAAAAAAGGGAAAAAAGAAAACAGGTTTTATACTTTATAAGACCATTTAGAACAATTTGCTGGATGTGTACATTTTGTAATCGTGTATATACAAAAAAAAAAAAAAATCCGCTACAAAAAAAAATTTTATTGAACCAAAAGAAATTTTTATAGATGTGGAACTAAAGATCTAAATTTGCTTTTGGAATAAATTTTCTCTTTTTTTTAGGCATAAGTGCTTTTTTGTTTTCCTTTCTTTTACTGAGAGGGCATATACACAAGCTTGTTACAAATTTTTTGTATATTAGTAGTAAGGTTTGTACCTAAATTTAAAAAGATTTTGGATTTTGTACATGTCCACGCATTATGATTTTTTTTCACAAACTTTTCTATATGGAGATATGATATAACAGCTTTCCCTGCTTCTATGGAATTTTCTGTTAAGATATTTTTTTACAGGGTTTATGTGGTTTTACGGTTCTTCTACTTTATATGTAAATAATACCTATCTTGTCACTATATGGTTTTTCCAATTAATAATAGCTTAGGCTAATTGAGGGAATTATTAGGTTAATGACATATAACCCATACATGAATAGAGGGGGAGGATTGGGTGGGTGAGGGAGGGAAGGATTGTACAAATCATACATTAATAAGTTATGGATTATTTTTTTTTTAACACTGAGAGTATATACACTGTTAGTATATATACAAGATTTATTCATAAGTTATATGGTGGAATATGGCAAGATTCACCCTTCACAGATAACTCGACCGGGACTAGTCGTCAGTCTTTACTGGAATGTCCCGGGTTCAACTCCCGTGAGGTAACTCGCTAGCATCCTTGGTCTGCTAGTCTTAGGGGATTAGTCTGGCCAAATAAAAGATCGGACACCCCTAAATGGAAAAAAAAAGAAGAAGACTATGGCAATGTTCAAATACAAAGTAAAAACTAACCAATTGAACAAGTTAGATAAAATCAAGCTAACTTAACTATTTGTACATTGTAAATATTCAAACAGTGAAATTTGAACCTCCATCCAAGTTTTGACATTAAAATAGACAAAACTCTATTTAAAATGCTTAGTGGAAAAAAAAAAGAAATTCTCAAATTTATTATTGAAAGACAAGTAGACAACTACTTGAGGACATATTTGTAAAAAAAATAAACATGAGGACATAAATTTTATGTTCCCTCTTCAGAGCGTGCTAGTCCTGCTAAATAGTTTGCAAACAATAATGTATGGTCTTTTCCTTTTGTTTTTCTTTCCCACCCAATTCTTCAAGATACCTTTTCACTTGTAGAGAGGTAACTTTGGAACGCATACTGCTGCTCAAGCCACGACGTTGAGTAGAATTCGTGTCCAATTTATACATATCACATAGATAGATATGAATTTTATCAGCAAAAACATAAAAAAAAGCACATTTAATGAAACTAATAATATAACTAAGAAGACACCTCTACTGTTGGTGCCGTATTTCATTGAATTTGCACCTACACAAATAGTTGTAGCTACTCTTATAAAAGGGATCTAACACCCAACATAATTAGCCTTGTACTTTTCAAATACAAAAGATGGTGCGAGCACTTCCTGCGTTCTTTTTCGTTTTCCATGCTTTGATCCTCTTTTCCCTTCTAAGTGACTTAGAATTGACAGAAACCACTGAGTTTTGATTCAATGGCCACCAAAAAAGGGACAAGTCCCTCTTTCAGCTATAAATTGGAGGTTCAAACCTCATCTATAATGAAAAAGATTTAAAATAAGTATCAAAGCATCTCTTTGATCTGGTCAAATCTGTATATCTGCTAGTCCCCCTCACATAGTTGTTTTCCTCCCTCTTGAATATAATAGATTAGTTATACATATGTTATCGTTATTGAAAAAAAAGGGGACTTAGATTGACAGAAATAGATTGCAGTACAATCTCGCACTAGGCCTCTCCAGAACCAACACTCGGTGCTTATATACATTGATGCTGTCTCGAACAAAATCGAGAACAAGGGGGGTAATGGTGTTGCGGTTTAGAATTACAATGACAGCCTCATCACCACCTGGGCAATTCCAACAACAGTCAAGAGATGATGCTGCTATATTGGAGGCCGAGGCAATCAGGACCGCCTTGCTCTAAGGCAATGGACGAGCACTGGACTTCAATTCTAGTTCATTCTGATTGTAAAATATTTAGTTGACAGGATTAACTTGAATTGTACTGGAATTTCCTCTTTAGATGTGCTGGCAGTCATGGTTGATGATATCCTACTTTTAAGTAGGGCGTTCTGATGATGTTCATTCACCTTCATGGAGAGGGAATGTAATCGCAATTGTCATGATTTGGCAAAATTCGCCATTAACCTTGTTGACGATACTAGGTGGAAGGAAAGCTTCCTGTGTGGCTTGAGAAAGATGCACACACTGATCCTCTAGCATTTGTCAGTCTAAATGTAAGTAATTTGTAATTATTAATTCTCTGATCTACACAGTGATGACTTTTGACCAAAAAAATTACAAGTAATCCCAAATGAAGAGAGAACAGAAAAGACACTGCAGAAGATGTAAAGATGGTAAGGCAGAGAAAAACCAAAGTAATAAACATCACATCAGCTCATTCAATGTGCGACACATTACATCATCAAAGTTGATCTTAAACAAAACAGAGTAGGATCATAAATATTTTCTCTACATAAATATTTTCTCTACATAGAAGGATAAGCAAGAAGTTGAAAGGACCAATATCTGATGAACTTCATCATCCCGAAAGTACCATTGATTCATCTTTACAACCATCCAAATTCGCATGCTTGCCTTTCCTCAATAAAGCTGATTTTTCTTGCCATTCCAAGTTTAGCATATGTACAAGGGTGAAGACCTGAAAATCCCAGCGAAATACAAATGAAACATGACTAAACACTTTTCTAAAGCACCTTGGAAACTTACCGTGTTACAGCAGCTAGCCCATCTTTCCTAACCTTTCCCCTTTTAACAGGAAAAAAAACAACTCCAAAGTGCGAGCTTCTTCTAGAATCTATTTTCCCCAGAAATGCAACGCCAAAGGTGACTTGTAGGTGAAACACCTGCATGCATCTATCTACATGCATTCAGGACATATAGACCAAACTGAGATGGATCGCTTAAGTATTTTTATGGTTGAGACAGAGGCAGGGGCTGCGAATTCTAGTCCAACAATGTTTAAGCATGAGGTATCTAATGGAAGACATAATAAACAACTTCATGACACTAGAGAAAATTAATTCCTCTTTCTAGTATGACAACAAAGAGAGAATATCAACTTGATATCATAATACAAGAATGCAGCTTCCAATGCCAAAAGGCAGAGCCATACAGCTAAACAATACATTCACCTCTTGGGCGAACAAGCTTCTGGGAACCAAACAAGCTTTACCCATTGATGATGAAAATTTGACTCACCTTACAAACCTCTTGGGGTAGGACATGTCATTACCCTTCCTCATCCTCATCTGTAGAACCACCCTTTGAGTTGTCCGGAACCTTCACCTCTGCTTCCATCTCCACTTCCATTGGCACCGGATATGTTGGTGCACTCTCTGCAAGCCAAAACGTGCTGTCACATAAATAACAGTATAGTAATAAAATATGGCTTGACTTATAGAATAACAATCATATTATTACTAATAACAATGATAGCGTACAACAACGGTAACTGTACTAATAACAACTAGAAGGAAGCCTCATAGTTGTAACTACAAAAATTCCAAAGAAATCTCACTATAGTGCCCTACATTGCACCTAAGTTGTAGTATTGAAGTAATTCCCATTTCTCAGCAATATTGTACTTGGATTGCTTAAAGGTAATATTTTCTCAGCAGCTAAAGAAAATTTTTGGCATGATTGCCAACCATGAGCTAAATCACAAACAACAAAACCCAAAAGAAATTTTTAATGCATACATACTAAATGCCACTCTGTGTGCTTTCTAATAATACCCCCAGGCCACTATCTGCCAGATTTATAATGCGAATACAGGAAATTGAAGTTTCAGTTACAGTACAATTGATCTTGTTAAATTTTCTACTTAATTTCATGTGTTTACTTAAATATGCAGAAAATTTTTTTCCAGGATCAGAGAATTCCTGCAAGACACTTCATACATGTAGAAAACTCAAATGACTAAAATTACATGTTGTCACTGGGCGCACAAAACAATAAGGTAAAAAAAGATATTATCATACTCTAAATTTTTTCAACATGATACACAGTGTTTTGGTCACAGAGAAATAGAATTCAGTGCTAGAATAGTAACTCTACATTCTGAAGCCCTCTTGAAAGTGTGTACCACAGTATTTCCTTAACGAGATTGCCAAAGATTCCTAGATGATCCTTCTCGCCCTTTCTTCAAATTTCATTCAACTGTCAATTTCACCAGCCCTAGGCCATAAACTCAAGGTCTAAGTCATAAGAGAACCGATATGCTGGTCCTCCATAGTACGAACTATGTGCTTATTCGTCATGTAACAGTTGCATCTCATTTAAATCATACAGATAAGAAAATGTTTCCTGAGGTAAAACTATGGCACTGACTTAGCAATTCAATGAATCATATCCTCAAGCACCAACGGATGCTTCTCAACATACAGAATAAACAGCACATGGAGCTGGAGAAAAATATTTTCTCTGCAAGGGAATGAAGTTATCAAAATTTAAGCCATGCTATCTCTAAATATGGCATTTGCATCGCAATTAAGTTAGTTTTACATGGAAAGCAAAAAATTTGACCATGTTATGTATACATTGTCCTGGTAAGACCGGTAAATGAAGTTGAAAGGCTGCTGAATATGAATTTACTAAATGATGAATGCCATGCGAGCACTGTTTGATAACAACTGTGATAAGAAGATTGACATAATAATGCCTGATATGAAGTGTTGAAAGAGGGATATAGAAAAGATGGATAAAAGTAACAAAAAATATTGTTCTAGGAAAGAAATTAATTTCAGCAAGGAGCATAGAATTTGAATAAGAAGACACAGAAAACAAAGTTATTTAACAACCCTTGCATTCCTCATACTATTTTGTTCTTCTACTCTTAATTTTTGTCAACCATTAGCAGAACAAAAGATATCCATGTTCATGCACATAGGCATAAGTAATTCGAGAGACATTATTCTAGAAAGACTTCTAGAATTTAAGTCAAAATATGAAGTATGGTTTCAGCATAAAAGACTAGTATATTTTCATGTAATATGCAGTCTGAAAGACACTAATATATCTTCTAAAGAATTCCCATAGCTTGAAAAAGGTCCATTGCCAAAGTTAATTTCATCATCTATGTGATTGGTGAAGTTAAAAGACCGGCACAAAACCTAGCTGATGGCATATGAACCAAAGACAATGCTTATAGCATTCAAATGATTTTGAACTTTTGAGCTACTTGGAAGAAATTTTGGTATCTTAAGCATGATATACTGAAAACTTGAAGCAGGGGATGGGGATATCATATTTATAGGAGTAGATTATGACGCTGTCTGAAATATCAAATGCACATTCAGAGATAAATTAATAGCCATGCTATGTGATATAGAAACAAGGCCCTTTTTTCAAGAGAGGGAGGTCAATGGAGGCAAGGAACAAGGGAGCATAGGGACAACTAGTCCTATTAAATTATGTGAAGTACGAACCACTAAGGGAAATAATAGGAAATAAGGCAAAATTTGGGTAATATGGAGTTTTGGAGTGTTTGGGAGGAAGGAAGCACTGTGCAAGCTGATGGATCTTTACCAAAGTTAGAAAAGATCCATCCACACTATCGAACATGTTGAATCTGACATATCAAAACTGAGACTTGTAACTATTCACTTCAAACTGGTCTCCCATGAAATAGAAGTTCAATTCAGACACCACAAAAATAACAACCAAACAATGCAAAGCAAAATGGTCACAAGCATCACTCCAACTATATGCATTTATATCAAAAGGAAAACTGTATGGTTGAAAATTTATAGTGCCAAAGCAGTTTGCTCCATTTGTCACCACAATGGAATTAAGAATTGATAATTTAGCTATCAGAAAATATTGCACAATCACAAGAGAAGATGAAGAAGAAAAACAGCTTAAAGGAAATATTAAAATTAGAAGTCACTGATGTTAGCTCATTAAAAATTTGCATTGATAGAGGAGACAGGTCAACAGGATCCAGCTTTTTGCAGAAATTTTCCAAAGAGCACTGCAAATAGACGACGACGGTTGAGTTTTAAACACAAATATTCCACCGAGCAAGAAGACTATAGATAGAAAGACCTGCTACATCTTGTGATTAGATCTCACTTTTAGATAAATAGAATGCATAACCATGCTGGAGCAGCCTTCTTAGATCACCTCATTTATGCTTCTTCAGAACTCAAATACTGAACCCAGTCATACAGTGTATACCTGATGCGTAGTTTTAAAGCTCAGCTACTTCCATAACAACTCTAAAGGAAGTATTTCACCTATTGGTTCCTGAATACACGTCATGATACTCCAAATGTACTTTTACACCCTCATTTTCTGCTGGCTGATGTTAAACCCCCACTAAACTACCGCAAATTGTGCTATAACCCCAAATATCAAGCTCCACTATGCTCTTGTAACAACTTTAAAACCACAATTCAGAAGTTGTCCTCTGCATACTCATGATACTTCTATGCGGCTTAAACTATAATAGGCAATACATCATATCCAGCCAACAATAATTTTGTTCTCCATTTCACTAAGATGAATAACAACGAACTGGTAGCATGACTTAAAACATAAAAACCAAGAAATTAAACCTAGGTTTGCCCAAAATTCTACCATCACCCCTTCTTATCTATTTCTTTACTATCATAAAAGCTAAAGCAATCTATTTGACATCTGAAAATGAGAATCCTATCTAGCCCATCAATGGACAAGAGCATTTGTTCCTCGTTTTCCCCTCAACCACTGGATACAAGCAGAAAAGTGTTCTCAGCATATTAACCCTTATCAAATTCAATTATAAATTCTAGTAGGGACATACTGAATTAATTACTGCCATTTTTTTTATTTTTACCTTCAATGAAATAAGAAGTGGAGGGCCAACCGCGAGAGGACGGGAAAGCCGGTGTTTCATCGTCAGTCACGAACTCAAAAGTAGTCGAAGTAGATTTCCCCTGGCTCAGACTGGGACCAAGATGACCCTCACTGTGGAGCCGCGCAGCAGTGGATAGCTTCCCAATGACCTCCACCACACCGCCGTAGGGATGGTTCCGGAGATTCGAAGGTGGCACCCAGTAAGAAGACCCAGGTCGAAACGGAAGCCAATCGGGAGCGGACCGGCGCACGATTATGTTCTGTATGACCTCCTCCAGCTTCCTGATCCCGCCGCTGATGGTCTCCACATCAGCCGACGACGGCGGCGATGACGCGGAGGACGAGGAGGAGGAAGAGGAGGAGGAAGAAGATGAAGCTGAAGAGGAAGAAGAATCCAACTCGATTTCTATGAGTTGAGCGGTGACCCGGGGTTTGCCGGAACGGTGCCGTTGAGCAAGGATTCGAGGGGAGAGGGGAAGGGTAGATGATGATTTGGGGTGGTAGATTAGGGTTTGAGAAATGAGACGCGTCATCGCCATTTCGGAGGTGGTGGTGGTAGGAATTTGAGGAGAGAATTGGGGAAACAGGGGAGAAGTTATATGGATTGGGGTGGATAGAGTAGACAACAACAGGAGAATAGTTGGCGGTTGCTAGTGACCGTGACGGAGCCAGGAGACTGGCGACACTATATATACATATTAGTAGGAAAAGCACACCTTATGACGTGAACGTTAAGAAAATCAGTGGGAACGGCACACCTTATGGGCGTATAAATCCAAAAAGAAAATTTTCTAAATGAAAAAATTATTAAATTTTTTAGTAGTAATTTAAGGTTTTGTTTTAGAAATATGGATGGAAGAATTGTACTAGTGTGTTTGGATTGTAAATTATTTGAGATATTTTTACTGTAGCACTTTTTATAATGTGATGTATGTGAGATAAAAAGATAATTGGAAAGATAAAAAGGTATATTGGAAATTGTAATGGTGATGTAAGCAAATATATTTGGGCAAATAACTTACAATCCAAACACACTTGTAATGGTGTTTTTTTTTTTTTTTTTTTTTTTGGATAAGTAGTTGTTGGTGGTTATTGTCTTATTGGAAGTTTTCTTAGGCTAGAAAAATGGGGTGCATGTGTGTGTTTGTGTGCGTATATTTTTGGGAGATGATGCAATAGGAATTATAAAAAATGATACAAATCCCTCCTCTCTCTTTTTATACATTATATAGATATAAAAATATTAACTATATAACTTTTGTTTGTGTTTCGGATTTGATTTGGATTCGGGTTCGAATTTAAATAAAAAATAAATTTTAATTTTGAGATCTATAAACACGTCTTGATGATCAATTATATTTTAATGTGATTAAACTGCTAACTTAAACATCTAAGGCTAATTTCATTTGTGTTCCATTAATCTTACATTTGAAGCATTGTATATTATAGCTGAAGCATTATAGTATATTCTAGTCCTTTCCCGCTGACTGGTTGGGGGACTGATTCCCTCAGCCAGTAGTTGGAGTGGGAGGGAATACTGCATGGGGTGGGGGTTAAAAATAAATAAAAAAATAAAAATGTAAATTATAAATTTATGCAATTTTTTAAAAACGTTTAAGCACTACAGAATCAACTCAAAAAATTGACGCAACATGCTGCAAAGTGCTAGTATATTATGGGTCTAAGTATTTAGGTTGACTGGAAATTATAAAAGATTGGGTTGGGTTAAGTTAAACTTAATCAAGTTTATATAGTTAGCTTAGGAAGGGTTGGGTTGAGTGGTAAGACTGGAGGAATCCCAAGTAGGAAATTTTGAGTGCAAAACCTCCTACTTATTAAAAAAAATGTTTAAGTAGTTAGATTGGCCAAAACCTATCAACTAAAAATTGGAGTCGGGTTCAATTGAAAACATATTTGGGTTGAAATACTTTTGCCGACAAGCAATTTTAAGGTTAATTTTATGTTATTTGATAGATTAGGTTTCTGATAAAAAAAAAAATACGTGAGTTTTGATTCATGAAAGTAAAGCTTTGTGCATAGAGAAACAACTTTCTACAAAACTAGTAACAAAAGTTAAATGGAAAACGCAAAATTTCAACTTGGTTTGTCTAGAGAAAATAAACTATAAAGTGCTTGAAATTGATTTGAGGTTTTTGATTATCTATGTGTTTCCTTTGGTAGATGGCATCCACTCTTATAGCTAGTTTGGAAGAGCAGATTTGGTGAGAAAAGAAAAGATTACAAAGGAAAGTTGAATCTTTCTCACATTTGGGACTTTGGATAGGAAAGAATTGAAAAGAAACGGAAGGATGTCAGCTCCCTTCCACGTCAGAAAAACTTTCTGCTCAAAATCGGCGGAAAACGTGAGAAAGTGGAGTGAGTTAAATGAATTATACCATATGCCATTTTTACCCTTAAAAGATTAAAATATAACTATATAACCTAATAAAATTCTCATGGTATCTTAAGATTTAAGGGTTTTTACGTAAAATTGAAACTTGTCTTTTCAATTCTCTCCCTTCCAAACAAAGGAAAGTTATTTCATCTCCTTTCTTCTCCAAAACTCCCAAATAACATGAAAAGATATTATAATCATTTCTTTTCTTTTCTTTTCTTTTCTAACTTAAGGTTTCTGTTCTTTTCTTTTCTTTCCTAAACTCCCAAACTAGCTATTAGGGTTGCAAACGAATCAAACCGTTCGAGTCGAGCTCGAGTGTGTATATATATATATAGATATATAAATTATTTTTTATTTTAATAGTAAAATTATATATCTATCCCTAATTTTTAATTATTTATTAAGAGAAATTTAAGAAAAAATATTATTTTATTCATTTTAAAAAATAAAATAAAATAATTATTTTTTTTGAGCTCGAGCTCGTGTTCGAAGTGGACTCGAATTTGAGTCGAGCTCAAACTCGAACTTTAGATTGGTAGTTTGTCGAGCTCAAGTTTGAGTTCGAGTTTGATAAAATTAATTCAAAATTCGACTCGATTAGGCTAAAGTTTGATTTGACTCGATTCGTTAGGAGCCTTGAACCATTTATTTGGGCTGAGAGACATTGCAATAGAGCTGCTCATAAGCTAGCTCAGTGTGCTACAGTCATTATTGAACGTGAAGTCTGGTGGTGCAAGATAGTGCACTTCGAACCGCATCCATAATGTACAATTCATACTTTTGGAGATTTGGTAATATTTGACGGTAGGTATCAATGAAGGTGCCAAGTTGGGCTCAATTAAACTTGTATTTGTGTGCTTTTCTCGAGTCAAAACTAAGCTTGGTTTTTGGTAAAAGGTTTTAAAACTTGCAATTTTATTCTGCACTATAGATTCTTTGTTTTGTTTCTGGTACATGGTTTTAGTACAAAAATAGCAGTACATGAATTCCTAATTCTAATGGGACTACTTTTTTGTTTTTTTGGAAATAGAACTTGTTCTATTGCCCCATTTGAAAGCAACCGTCTAGGGTTTTTTTTTTTTTTTTTTTTTATGTAGAAACTCTCGAGTGCAGGCCAGTTGAATAGTTGAATTGGAGCTGAATCACAAGAAGGAAGGGCACAGAATTCTGTGCTACTCTTTGAGCATGGTGAGGACAGTGAAATTCAAAAAACTTCTGTTTTTCTATATCTATATGTTGTAGATACCAATTTTATTCTATTTTATTTTATTTTGTTTTATTTTATTACTATTTCTTTTCTTTTCCAAGAAAATCATTTTTTTACCTTGTTGATTATTTGCTTGGTTTTTGTAGGGCAAAGCAAAAAAAAAAAAAAAGAAGAAGAGAGAAAAGAAGAAAAAACAGAAAATGAGAAACTAAGAAAAGAAGAAAAAACAGAAAATGAGAAACTAAGTTTTTTGCAAAAAAAAAAAAGAAGAAGAAGAAGTCCCACGACACGTGCTGATCACGCCCGCGCCATTTCTCCATGGTTTCGTACCAGAAGTCATGGATGAATAGTACCAGAATTGCAGCAGCCATTTGATCCCATTTCCACTCTTTTTTTTTTTTTTGCATTTTTCTTTCTCTCCAAGCCCCCCAATACAAGGCCGCCTGGCCTCAATCCGAATAATCAAGAAAAATTTGGAATCAATGCCATCCAATGGCTTTAAAGTTGCCAAGATACCCAGCTCTTATCTCCACCATTGCTCCTAGGGTTTGGTGGTGGGAGGGGGGGTTGTTCCATATAAAGGCTTCAAAACGGTAGCTTTAGGGTAAGAAGAAAAGGGGAGGCGGCAGAAAAACAAAAAGGGAAAGAAAAGGAAGTACGGGAGAGAAAAGAAAAAAAAGAGAGAAGCAGAAATTTTCTGCAAAAACTTTTTTGAGCCAGGGCTGACTTTCTGGCCCTCTTTCGGATCAAAATTCGATCCCGCTTTTAGTTATTTAGGCTATTTTTTCATTTCTATACTATATACGTTCACTAACGAACAACTTTTGTTAAGAAAATTTCCCGAAAAAATAACTCCAAATCTCTCTAATCTCAGCTTGAAATTACCAGCTCGCCAACACTTGAATGTTTTTGCAGCAGAAGTTTGATTCCTCTTCCAGCAATTGGATCCGTTTCTTTTGACGCTCAACATGTTGTTTCGCCTTTTTAAAACGCCAAAGGTGATGTATTTCATCTTTTCCTTGCTATCTAATATGTGCCAAAATCATCCGCATTCTCCCTACACTTTTTTCTTTCTTCTTTTCGCTGCATTTTATTGCTCATTTTATGAGATAATAGCTCAGATTTTATTGCATAATTTCGTGTTAAATGTACCAAGATTGAATCTTGATGATGGGGTTGTGTGCATAGTTATTAAACCTGACCCGGCCTGGCGGTTCAACTGGTCAACCCGGTGAACCGGCCATGAAACTGGGCTGAGTTTGTAATTGAATTGTTTGTGCACCAAACCCGTTGACTTTTCAACGGACCAGCGGTTCAATCGGTCAACTCGATTGAACCGGACGGTTTGTAAGGAACCAGGTTTTGGGATAAAAATGATTAGAAGATGCTCCAATGCTAATTCAAACCTCAAACTTCAAGCATAAAAGCTACGCGCACTCACCACTAGCCTAGCAGCTCACTTGGTGCTTATTCACTCCTTCTATATTATATATTAGATTTTTATTCTTATTTTATTTCTTCAAAACAATATTTGTTTGGAATCTTTTAATAAAATTTTATTATTCTCTAAATTCTATAAATTATGAAATGGATTTAAAAAATAACATATTACACAATTCATTTTAAAAACAAATATTATTCTTAATAACCTTTTGTGCTTAAAATTCAAAAATAAACTAGATAATTACACTTAGATAAAATTTTATACTTGAAGTTTGGTGGATTACTAATTAAATTTAGGTTTTGTTAATTCTTATAAGAATTAATGATTCTATAATAAATTGGACTAACTGAGTATTTACTATAACATAGTTTATTATAGTTTTAACCATATCAAAAATTATCAAACATAATATTTAAATATATGTAGTGACCCACCGGTTGGACCACTCACCCACGGGTTGAACCAGTAACCCGTTGACCCACCTCTTTCACCGGGTTTCTCTCCTGGCTGGGTTTAATAACTATGGTTATGTGGCCTTGCTACTTTCGTCTGAAACTTTGGATCCGTTAGGGCATTGTTTGTGTTTGATGAAAACCCAGAAAGTTGTAGAAGCTTTCAAACAAGATGCATGG